TACCCACTGTAGCCATATGGCTGAGGGGTATATCATATCTTTTGAAATCAAAATCTCTTCATAAAAAATTGGGAGCGAAATTAGCCAAAGTAATTGTTACAAGGTACCGAGAAAACACATTATCTTTCACTTTACCAGTATATTGAAAAAATGGGTTATTTCTTAAAAATATTAGGAGATAGAAGAACATATTTCACATATTACCAAAGGAAGGGTTGTAAAGTCGATAATAAACGTCTATACAAAAAATGGCAACATATTTTGGAGTTTTGCCATTGTCCTTTGTAAATGGTCATATGGTGAGAGCAAGGTGTTCTAATAAGGTGACACGGCGCAGTTGATCTTTATGTTTGCTGTCAAAACAAATTGTTTCTATTAAAAATAAATAATAAATATTTTAGTTTTGATAGACATATAGTTTTAAACCCTAAAAATTTAAAGTTAATCGATTCCTCGCTTAAATACTTTTGACAGCAAGATCAGTCCGAATTTGCGGCCTGAGTGACCTTATTAAATAGGCCTCTGCTGAGAGGATATTTCACTACCTTTAACTAACTTTTTCCATATCCCCTTGAAAATGATAAGATAAAGCCCATACCAACCTAGTTAATTTGCAATTCTCCCTCTAGGTAGCTACCTAGGAAATACTTAGAGATGTCTTGTCCATGACTCACCTGCCACAAAGATGACATAAAAATACCTTCTTCGGACAGACACACACGCACACACAAAATTACATTGTTAATAAAAATTCGATTTTAATATTCGCGCTTGTTTTTCTGTAAACAATGCCTACCATCAGCACCACGCTTGCCAGTTGTTGTTTCTGTTGTAGCGGAGGGCATGTCGGCTGGTTGTTTGCCATAAAATGCCGCGCCTGCGTTGCGTTTTATTTTTTCGATTTGTGATTTGAGTGTGATTGTGTTGGGTTTTATGGTGGCTTCTTCCCATTTTATAATGAGCTTATGGTTTATTTGATTATCTATTTATTTATGGATTTTCGCAATTATTTGTCTATTACAGTGGAACCTTTTAGGAGACAAAAAAAAACTCAGAAGAAAAAATATATTAAAATAAATTCAATAAATAAATAAAAATTTGATAGATAAATAATCAATCAAGGGGTCAATAAATAAATAAAATGTCAAAATGAGCTCGGGGTAATGCCATTTAAATTCCAAAAAGTGCAAAAAGTTACACCGCAACAGAAAGAAATTAGACTCAAAAGAGCTAAAGAGTTGCGTCGCTTGGCCGAAAGTGGTGAACTGCCGAATTTACTTTTCTCCGATGAGAAAACATTCGTTGTCCAGCAGTTTGTAAACAAACAAAATGATCCTGTTTACTTGCCAAGGGAGTCGGCTGCCACCAGAACTCAAGCACCGGCCATGGTAATGGTGTGGGCCGCCCTAGCAGCCGATGGTTGCTTTCCGTTCGTTATAATCTGCCGTAGCATCAGAATAGATGCCGAATATTATCGCGAAAATATTCTGAAGGATGTATTAAAGCCTTGGGCACTCAAACATTTCAGCCGCCACCCAGGAATGGTTAAAAAAATAGGTTCCTCGCTTCATTTCCAGCGCACAATGACCACCAAAATCTCCGGATAAAAGTCCATTGGACTATTGTGTCTGGAGTACTTTGAAAAGCAAGGTTCGCAATAAAAATTCCAAAGTGTCGATCTCCTCAAGCAAGCGTTTCGCCGGAAATTGGCCAAAATACTGCAGAGCAGCATTCGGGCAGCGTTTGATGGTTTCATTGGCCGTTTGAAGACCATAATTCATGCCAGAGGTGACCAATTCGAACAAATCTAAACTTATTCTAAAATTTGATGCTATTTCCGACATTTTTTGCTTTCATTCAATAAAATTTAAAAAACCAACAAAGAAAGTCTTAAAGTCGGGCAGGGCCGGCTTTATGATACCCTACACCACTTTGCCAATTTAGTAGAGCTCCGCATAACAATTAAAAGTTTTTATGGGAGAATTCAATCATACACGCTATGATTATAATTATAACTTAAATTTCAAAGGAATAAAAAGACAGAAGCATTCGTATCTTTTAAATTCGGACTTTTATTTCCCATTTGGTGCACAATTAATTTGAAATCGGATAAAGATATATATGGGAGCTATATCCAAACCGGAACCGATCTCGATAAAATTTGGCAAAGATATTTCTGAGCTGTATTTGATATATTTCCCCAAATATTGTTGTTACAGAGTGCATATTACGGCTGCGGAGGACACAAATAACAAATCGGATGAACAATATATATGGGAGCTATAGCTATATCTGAACCGATTTCGATTAAATTTGGCACACTTAAAAAATTTGGCATACTTATTTTCAGGCCTAATTTGGTTGTATGCGCAAAATTCCATACTATTCGGGCTGATATTACACGTTTGGTGCACAATAAAAGGCAAATCGGACGAAGATATATATGGGAGCTATATCTAAATTTTGACCGAATATCTCCATTTTTAATAGATTTCGTCCTTAGGTCAAACAAATGACTTGTGCAAAATTTCATCTGGATAGGGCAATAAATGCGAACTGTACTTTGTTTACAAAAATACATGGACAGACGGACATGCATAAATCGACTCAGAATGTGATTCTATGCAGATCGTCAAAAGTAACTATTGGTCTATCTCGTTTCCTTTTGCCTGTTACAAACATATACACAAAGACACAATACCCTGACCACCTTGTGGTGTAGGGTATAAAAATGTGAAATTTATGGCGTTTGACTTTGTTGCGGTTTTTTTATCTCAACCTGTATTAAATAAAAGTATATATTTAATTATTAAAATATATATATATATATTTTATAAAAAATATAATAATGAAGCAACTGCCCAAGTAAATGTACCCAATCTGAATAATTAGTGTGGTTATATACTCTCTATCTCCCTCTGTCCTCTTTCTAAGCATTTATATTTGCCTAAGAAAGGTCCCACTGTACATTGTTTTGTTTTCGTTATTTTACTATTTCTTTCGAAGTAATAATTCGATTTGTTCATATCTCCCTCCACTTCAAGCTATTGGGGTCTGATTCACCCGTTTATGAATTTATTTTGAATGGCTAGATGGATGGATAGGTAAATAAATGGATAGATGGCTGGTGTAAATTAATTCCACTTTAGCAAATTTACGAAATTTTCGGTTGGTTGCGGTTGATTTCCCCCTATCGCATATTTTGGCACTACTGCTGTTGTTTGAATAGTTTGTTACGATTTATAATTTTCATGATTTATTTGCCGACGCACCCATAAAAAAGGCAAAACGATTAAGAAATTATTATTTTATTTATTTATTTGAAGAAATTTGTTTTGTTTTACCTATGTTTTCTTAAGACAGTTTATTAACTGAATACCATTTCTTGGGGCGTTTTTTTTTTGGCGGGTGGACTGCATGTAATTTATTTAAGAAATTCATGGAATGGAAGTTAAATGGGTTAATGTGGCCATAATTCATTAATTAGCCGCTAAGCGTCAGGTAATTAGGTCTGTGTGGTATAAGTAAGTAATTGAGAGTGTACGAGTAATGTTAAAAAATGGTGAGAGGGGTGGTAATTTTTTACGGAATTACAAATCCGTTGGAATTTTTGTGTTTATTTTGAATGCATAAATTTACATAATGCCAATAATATTGCAAGATTGGGGAAAAGACAAGTGACCTTGAAATAGCATTGCTTGAATAGCTTCGAGATATGAATATTCACTTTTGACTTTCTTAAACATTTTCTTCTTAAGCGAATGTTATTCAATAAATTGACCCTGCACCATAGTATGGAGGGTATATTAAGTTTGTCATTTCATTTGTAACACCCTGAAATATACATTTTAGACCCCACAATATATATATATTTTCTTGATTAGCATAAAATTCTATGTCGATTTAGTTCCCGTTCGTCTATCCGTCTGTGAAAATCACTCTATCTTCCGAACGAAATGATGTAGGTTGATAACATTTTACTCAAATGTATATTATGTCTGCAGAACTTTTGGTATTGAAAATGGGTCATGTAGGTCCTCGTTTTGGTATAGCCCCATGTAATGGTACCTCCCTATTTTCGGTATTTTGGTGATTGTAGCTACATTATTCACCAGAAACGTTTCAAATTTGGTATTTGAAGAAAATTATCTGTACAGGTCCAAGTCTTCGTACCGATATTCGGTTCTTTGTTGATTTTAGCGACATTATTCACAGGAATTGTTTCAAATTTGATATTTGAACTTCGTAATGAATATTACAGCCAATGACAGAAAATTGTCTGTGCAGATCCACGTCTTCGTATAGCCCTCATTTAACGTTACCTCCCAGTATTCGGTATTTTGATTATTTTAGCGACATTATTCACCGGAATTGTTTCAAATTTGGTATTTGTTTCAAATTTGGTATGGAAACTGCAGTTTATGCCAGAAAATAGTCTATTCACGTCCTGGTCTTCGTATAGGACCCATACATCAGCACCTCCCTATATTCGGTATTTTGACGATTTTGAGTTACAACATTCACCGAAATTGTTTGAAATTTCGTGTTTGCATTTATAATAGGTACTACAGTCTGTGACAGAAAATTGTCTATGCATGTCCAGGTCTTCGTATAGCCCTCACATAATGGTACCTCCCGATAATCGATATTTTGATGATTTTAACTACATCATTATCCGGATTTTTTTCATATTTCGTATTTGAAGATTGTAATGGCTTATGACAAAATGTTCAGCTTATGACCGAAGGTCAACGTCGTCGTAATATGACGGCTACATTCGGTATTTTTAAGATTTTAACAGAATTTTCGACAGATTTTATTTTAAAAAAAATGCCAAATTCGTTCCAAATGGTTGAGGGTATTCAAAGTTCGGCCCGGCCGCACATACAGCTTTTTTACTTGTTTTTTTTAATTCTTGGCCATAATTCTATATAGGTATTAATATCGTCTTATTTCCATAAAATATTATTAAATTAACGATTTTCCTTTTTTATTTACAGGTAATTATATTCAGTGAAAAATATGGACAGACTATTTCCAAAAAAGAATTTCATTTAAATTATATCCACAATTAAGACGAAGTTCAGAAATATTTCATATACAGCCGTAAGTAATCCCACTCCAAAAATTTACGAAACTTTATAATTTTCAAAAGAATTTTTAATAATTAAAAAAAATATATCATTAAAAAATAATGGGTACCTATTAAACCCATTATTTGGTAATGGCATCAGCAATTACTTATGAAACAACCTACTAATCTCTTGGAGAGTTAGTTACTAAACTGAAAATTTATAACTGGTGTTATCTCTAGTGACTGAACATAGTATGTATAGGTTAACGTTTTATTATAGCACACATATAACAGTATCTTCCGATTTTTATACCTCTCATAATAACTTTAAACCTAACAAAATATATGTATTCTTGATCAGCGTCAAATTCTAAGACGATTTAGCCCTGTCCGTCTCTTGTAATCACAATAGAGTCAAAACGACTAAAGATAGAAAGCTAAATTTTGATGAAGATTGACGATCGATGGAATTGTCTAAAATTCTACACAAAGAGGGCTTTTTCAATGGAATTGTCTAGAAATCCATCCTAGAAATTCTTTCTAAGCACTTTACCACCTGAAAGGTCCACCATATCGTATAGCCCACATACAACGGTATCCCCGATATTTGATATTTTGACAATTTTAGGGACATTATTCACCGAAGTTGTTTTAAATTTCCTATTTAGAACACGTAATAAATACTACAGCCTATGTCAAAAAATTACGTATGCCGGCCTACGTCTTCGTATAGCCTCCATATAACGGTACCTCCCAATATTCGGTATTTTGATGATTTTAGCGACATTATTAACCGGAGTTGTTTCAAATTTCGTATTAAGAGTGCGTAATGGGAACTACAGCCTATGAAAAAAAAATTGCGTTTGCAGAACCACGTCTTTGCATAGGCGCCATATATCAGTACCTCCCTATATTCGGTATTTTGACCATTTCGGTACAATATTCACCGAAATTGTTTGAAATTTCGTATTTTAAGTCTGTGGCAGAAAATTGTCTATGCAGGTCCAGGTCTTCGTAAAGCCCCTCTCTATATTCGGAATTTTAATAAATTTGGATGCATAATTTAGAGAATTTCAAGTTTCGGATTTGAATATTTTAGTGGCTTATGACAAAAGTTGCCTATGTAGGCCCACGTGTTCGTATGGAATATTGAATATTGTAATGTCTTATGACAAAAGTTGCCTATGCAGGCCCACGTGTTCATATAGAACTCAATATAACCGCTATATTCGGTATTTTTAAGATTTTAACAAAATTTTTACAGATTTTATTTTTATTTATTTATTTATTTATTTATTTTTTTTTTTTTTTGAAAATTTCCAAATTCGTTCAAATGGTGGAGGGTATTCAAAGTTCGGCCCGGCCGAACTTAGTGCTTTTTTAATTGTTTAAATATAATCCTTCTCGAAGTCGCATCATGTCCTTTAAATTTGATGGAAACCGATTAAGAGTTGAATATGCCTTCCATATATTGGTACCCTGCGATTCCAAATTATATCTGCTCTAAAGCCATAACATGCATTAACTAAAGGTTCATAGATGTTACGATCTGCATCACATAAATGCCCAATATAAACGTTTATTTGTTATGGGTAGTTCTACTAAATATGCCTAGTGGTTTAGGGTAGCATATCGTATCGTTTTATTAGGTTTTTAATTTTTTTTGCCGATGCAGGAGTTGAAGAGATGTGGTAGGTACTTACATGTCCTTGTTTAAATAAGGGGTAAGGATGCTGCACAAAATTTACTTAATAAACCCATTAATTGGTAGAGTGATTTTAGTTGGGTTTGAATGTAAAGTGAAATATAATCTGAAAATACCGGAAATTGTCGCAGGTCTCTTGTTCCCACTGAGTATCATGCTAATTATTAATAAAAATTACCAGAAATTAATTAAATAATTATTTTGTGTTATGAAAATTACTTCATGTTTCAACGCAATTAAAATTACATAGTCTTCGCCAAGACTCTGCCACCTAGAGGCACATGTATGTGGGCACGTTACCCTTCATTAGCTACAATATTTCCCTGTCTTCTTTTTAAACCCAAAGGGGGAATTCCTCATATTTGTATGCAAATGTTAACATTTCGGAAACTGAACTTAGCTCTACTGCCAAAAACAAAAAACCAAACATTCACCCTCAACTTGAGGCAGCCAACATTATATTATGTTGCCTCCAAATGAGTTCGGAGGCCTATGTGCTGTGTGAAAATTTCGCCCCGAAGACAATGAACTTTCCACTTCATTAATTATATTTTGTTGTTGTTGTTGTCGCTGTTTCATTTTGGTAGATAATTTTTTGTTTGTTAGTTTTTCCATTTCGTCTATGTTTGATTTTTTTCCATTTTCATGTGGAACAAAACAGATCAATGCAACATAATTTCATGGACCTGAAATATGTACACATAACACACATGCATGGAAAAACATACATGTATTATCTACGTGTGGCTTTGCATTAGGCTGCAAGTTCAATGCTCTGTTAGAGTTTATTGCAAATGATACGGCTGAGTAGTGGGTATAGTTTAGGCAAATCAAGATGAGCGTTTAGAGTTAAAAATGGCCGGATTTTGTATAAATGCTCGACTCTAAAACCCATGGCAGAATTAAGTAAGGGAACTTATTTTTTCATATTTTCTGCTATAAAAGAATTTCTCATAATTTTCACAAAAAAAGCAATTAGTATTAAACAAAAGAAAAACAAGGAAAAACGTATCAGTCGATTTTGCCAATAGATCTATACTCTCAGCCAATGTTCGATTTTTAAAAATATTTTGACTTCTGTTATGATTATTCAAATTTTCGACCCTCTATAGAGTAGGTTCCGAAGGAAAGGGCCAAAATTGTCCATTTCGTATCGGACCTAAATAAATATGTTTTAAATATTGAGATGTGCCAGGTTTGGACTATATTAGTTTCTTCCTACACTTTTTATGAAATATGTGACAATTTTAAGAAAATGTTAAAATGTGCATAATGTAACAAGTTTCTTGTGGAGATAAATGAAAGCATCGCTGACTTGTTTCGCAAGTTATGACAGATAAAAGTATTGGAAATTGCTTCCCATTGTGGGTGAGGTACCCAAAGGTGTTCACAGATATATATCATCTTCATAACGGATCTTGTGTTAGGAAAAATATTTGTATGTGTTAAACTTGAAGAGATTTGGATGCTTATTTCGCTTCCTTGGGGGCCTTCTTCTTGAAAACCTTGAAACCTATGTGGAAGAGGTATCAGAGGTAATGGTCCGATTTCTTCCCTATTTATACCAGATCTTGTGTTGATAGAAATATTGAGATGTACCAAGTCTAAATGAAATCGGATGTTAATTTCACGTTAAATGAGCTTCATGGATATTTAAAATTTTGACCATTTACGGGGGAGGTATCAGAAGAGTGGACCGATATCCCATCCTGTGTTTGTAGAAATAATGGGATGGGTGAAATATGAAGACAACCCGTTTAATCGTTTTGGTTATTCAAAAGTTTGACTCTTTGTGGGGGAGGTACCAGAATAAATGGTTCTATATCTACCATATTTATTACAGATCTTGTAATAAAGTGTGAAATATGAAGAAAACTGGATGCTTATTTCGGATTTTATAATCGTTTTGGTTGTTCAAAACTTTGACACTTTGTGGGGGAGGTACCAGAAGGAATAATCCGATCTCTACCAACTTTAAAACAGACCTTGTGTTGATAAAAATATTGAGATGTACTAAGTTTGAATGGAATCGGATGTTAATTTTGCGTTTTATGTGCTTAAAGGATATTCAAAATTTTGACCCTTTTTGGGTTAGGTATCAGAGGGAATGCGCCAATATATCCCATCTTCACAGCAGATATTGTATTAGTAGAAATAATAGGACTTGTGTAAAATGAAGAGAACTGGGTGCTTATTTCGGATTTTATAATAGTTCTGGATATTCAAAATGTTCACCCTTTGTTGGGGAGGTACCAGAAGGAATGGTCCGATCTCTGCCATCTCTACAACAGATCTTGTGTTGATAGAAATATTGAAATGTGCCAATTTTGAATGGAATCGGATGATAATTTCGCGTTTTATAAGCTTCATGAATATTCAAAATTGTGACTTTTTGTGGGGAGGTACCAGATTGAGTGGCCCGATATAGTTCATCTTCACACATAATGTTGTGTTGATAATATATATTGGAAAGTATCGAGTTTGAAAATAATCTGAATCCCTTTTCGCTATTTATAAGTATTTTGCTATTATAAATTTTAACCCCTTTTTGTGGGGGATACCAGAAGGAGGGGCTATTGTATTCCATCTTCATACCAGATCCTGTGTTAGTAGAAAGATTGGTTTGTGCGAAATTTGAGTAGAATCAGATGCTTATATCGCATTTTATGAGAGTTACAATTAAAATGTTAACCCTTTGTGGGGGAGGTACATGATAGAGTGGATAGATATTGTCCATTTTAAAAACTGCCCAACCTCTGGAGAAAAAATTGATATTTACTAAGTTTGCCGGAATTATTTTCTGTCAACTCCCAAACTCGATCAAGGTTTGACAATAATATTACGATGTACCAAGTTTGGGTCACATCGGATTCACCCTTTGAGAGTTATCGTGCGCACCAGCCAGACAGACAGACGGACGGACGGCCATTGCTAGATCGTCTCCAAATGTTCTGAAACGGAATTGGTTCAAAGATACCTAGGGTCTAAAACCGTTTTGGTCGTATCAAACCCTCTCTAACCATATGAGGGTATAAAAAAGAAGAATCGTGTATCGGCGTTTTGAAAGATTACATTGAAAAGCAATCAAAATAGAGGGGGCAAATTCCCCCTCCTTCATACTTTTGAACATTTTCGGAAATATTGCAATATTTAGCCCTCAAGTAAGTCTTTTTGGTCCTCTTTTTATACCCTCCACCATAGTATGGAGGGTATAATAAGTTTTTCATTCCGTTTGTAACACCTCGGAATATACATTTTAGGCCTCACAAAGTATATGTATTCTTCGATCAGCATAAAATTCTATGTCGATGTCCATCCGAATATCCG